GGGTCTTAAGAACCTATAGAATTATGTTGATAACATCTAATCTAATGTTAAATTGTTTAGGAATTGAAAGAAATGTTAATTACAAGGCACAAGCAGGGTTGGTAAATTTTACCATTTTCACACTGTAAGCAGTCTGGTAACCTAGTGCCAATACAATGTTGTTCACCATATTGTTGAGTTTATGGTTCCTTATAGGTTGTGATTATTATAATAGTTTTACATTTTCACTGGATTTTTGTTTGTTTACTAGTTTAAATTCTTATGTTCATTAGGAGGATAGGTTGATGTATGTTGAAGTTGATCCATCAGGAGCAGACTGTTGGAAACTGGAACCTGTTGTTGATCTTTTGAAAGAGGGAGCAGTGGGGGTCATTCCTACTGACACTGTGTATGGCACTACTTTATCTTTATTTTTAGTCAGTTCGAGGCTGTGTTTATTGTCATGATACTTTGTGTCTTTAACAAGGTGGCTGTTATTTAAAATTTTGAAAAACTAGAATTTTAAGTCTGTATTTCCTTGTGCAACTTTGAACTAGTTTTTTTGTTTTTCTAAAGGCAATTTCCCTGATTCATTATTTTGTACTGCAGTTTTTTGGTTTTTCAGAAACTGAAAATGGGATTTTGGATGTAAAGCCTATAATAATTATAATTTTTATTATGAATGCATTGCCATTGATGTTTCCTACCAGAAGTTGTCTTGATCCCTCTGTTAGTGGGTGTATATAGAAGAAAGGGAAAATGGGGACAATTCCCTAAATTTAACATCATGCTGATGTTTGGTTCAGCTGTGGGTTTTTTGTTTTCTCAGGTTCAGAATAATGTGAAGCTTGAAATTTAATTTTTAATTTAAAAGCTGTCAACACTTGCTTTGTTCTTAGGTATGCAATAGTTTGTCATTTGAAGAGCCAGTCAGCTATTGAACGTCTTCGAAGGTAGATGATGTTGTTTCCCTTGTACTAACTTTACATTTCTCTATTATCAACCTCTTGGTGACAGTGGTCTTTTTGTTTTCCCCCCTATTGCAGAATAAAGAATATAGAGCCCTCGAAGGTAAGGAATATTGCTTCTCTTCAGTTTAATATAGAAGTTCTTATCTTCCTTAGACATGTTTAGATATTTAGTTAATCTGCTTTGTTTGGATGCCGCATGCAGAAAGCATGCACGAGGAGCTTATTGATATTAGTACTTGTTTAGTAAATTACCATGCATCTTACCATTGACAGTTATGATTTCTGCTCTTCTCTCATGCAGCCTCTTAGTATCTTGTGCCGCTCTCTCCGGGACATAGATATATATACAACTGGGTTCCCTCGTGGTGATGGTCAAGGACATGCAAATATATTTCGAGCTGTTAAACACTGCTTACCTGGACCTGTAAGAATCTCTCCTTCATCTTATAACTATTGCTAGCTGATTAAATATAAGGTACCCATCATTGGCATTCAAGAGCCACTATAATAGCTATTCACAGTGTAAAGAATATGAGGGAAGCTGGAGCAATACCCAGCATAATATGGCTTTTCACATGCTTGTCTTCTTAATCAAAATTTTCACCCTGCATGTATAGCTAATAGATTTACAAAGAAAACTTCCAGGTGATTTTTACAGCCATCTTGAGAACTTTTGGCATAGGACATTTCTGGGTGGAACAGCTCTGATCATTGTGTTTCTTTCTTTTGCATGTCCTGGTATCATATTAATAATGCTGATAATCATGAGTGCATGTTTATTAAACACTTACAGTTGCATTGGGTTCCTCAAATCTTTTATATGTATTATTATCCTGACAAAGTTTCTATGGAACAGTACACTTTCATTTTAACTGCCAGCAAAGAATTGCCTAAACAATGTGTAAGATATGGTACTACAACAGCCAAATATGCTTCCAGAAAAAATGTGGGTGTCCGTATCCCTGATGATGCCATATGCCAAGCAATATTGGAAAAGATGGATGCTCCATTGATATCCACAAGGTTGGTTTGAACAATTGTGATTAAAGCTGGTTTAGTTTTTATCTTTTCCCCTTTCATTCACTTTTTTATCTATTTATTTATTTATTTATTTTTGTTATTGATGGAGAAATAATTCTTATTATTTTCATTATTAATGATAAACAAGTTCAACACATTTTGTTATGATCTTAAACTGAATCTGTGTTTCTTGTCTCAGTGCCAAATGGCCGAAGGAGAATGAATGGATGATGGATCCAGTGGTGATAGCAGATATATATGGACCAGAGGTATGAGTTCAGTTAAGAAGATTGTTTTGTTTAGGTCAATTAATTTTGTAGGTTTTGCCTCCAATTTACTGCAGAGAGAAGTTTAATTTAGTAATCTGAGGAAGTCATCTCATTGCAGTGCGTTTAAATGTTGATCCTTTCTTTGGGTTAATGTTTTATTACATCGTTTGAAGTAGTTATTTTCTGTTTAAGTTTATGTATGAACTATAAGATAGGTTTCTTTGTTAACAGAGCTCCTCTGCTTATCTCAGTTTCTCTTCTTGACAATTTGATGACTTAGTTCTAAAGAATATTTGGACAAACTCCCTAACCCACCCTGCAACGGTCTGGCCACGTTTCTCCATGGTTCCCCGAAATATGGGAAATTTAATAAGGGTACCTGCTGTATTTACTTGCCTTTCTCTTGTATCCTGACAGAAAGAGATCGTAATTCACACTTCAAAAGTTAACAAGTTTTGTATATCTTTCTTTGGATCTTTAGCTATGAGAAGGCCTAATTGTAGTTATGATTCCTTGTAAATCACTTACTGTACGCCTGTCAGAAGTACAGTGTCTTTCTTGCTCTTGATTTGTGGTCATTTAAATTTTATTTTAGGGCCTCGATTTTGTTGTTGCTGGTGGTGTAAGAGTTGCAGATCCTTCCACTGTAGTTGACATGACTGGAGCTTATCCAAAAATTATTCGGCAAGGAAAGGTATGCATAGCTTCTGTTTTTCTCCATTGTTAGTGAATCATGTAAAAGAATAGCAAGGTGGGAGTGCACTGATGCTTTTGTTATTTGGAAATTTTGCTTATCAAAACTTTGTTTCTGATAATGCTGACAGTGACACAACCTATAAACTACTCTTGGCACAGTTTGATGAATTCTACTGTTGTATTTTACATCTGATCTTATGATTCTATGTTGTTCAGGGACCTAAATTACCCTGGATGGAAGAGAACGATGCTTAATGACTCAGCTACACTTGAAGATCTAATCCCTTCTGCTACCTAAGATGTTCTTGAACATGAATCTTGACAGAAACCTGTACAGAATTATAGTTTGTCTGCATTCATCACTTTTTATATGATATTTCAGTTCTGGGTCACATAATTAACATGACCTTGCATAGACAGCATAGATATGTTTTGTAAATGTCTGGTCAAGAAATGCTGCTGCAAAATTCTAGTAAATACTGAACATTTTTTATACTTGTGACTTGTGAGTGAATATCTCAATTGGTTTAAGGTCAATGAAATTACATCTATGGGAGTTAACCCTTGCTATCTTTGGACTGCTGTTGCTTCTAGACCCTGTAACAAATAAATAAGTTATCAGATGTATCAGAAACAGATCGAACGATGGCTATGGTACTGCCTTTAATTTGGTCAGTTTAATTTTAATTTTATCACTTTTACAGGAGCTGAGAAAAAACATAGATTTTAGAGGGGCCACTTGTTTGGTGCATCATAAATTTTAGGTTTAATGGCTTTACTCGTACACAGTTGCCAAACTCAACAGGTCACTCCTGGTTGGTATTTCCTCAGTATTCAATGGTAAGTAATAAATTCTCAGAACTGCAAGAGTTGTGCCGTCATCAGACCTTTTTAGCAATTCAATATTTCAATGTCATAAACAGTAAATATAGATATTTAAAAACAGTAGTCAACCATCCTTCACTTACCATTTTACCGAAATTGCTTGCAGGAATTTTGAGCCTTATCTCATTTTTTGTTGATTACGGAGGTCCTGAAATTTAAATATGATTTGGAACCCTAACCCTAAAGTGGCATTTTGTTTATCAAAAACGTGAAGTAAAATTTAGTGACTTTAAGATTCGATAATGTGCCTCAACAACAATTTTTTTCCACAAAAATGGTGAAAATATGTTTGGTATTGAATTTACTTTTTACTACGACGTTACATGTTTTCAAAACCCCTATTTCTGACACAAATTGTGTGGATTATATGCTATTGGATTGCCAGGTTAACACAGTTGAAGATGAAAATTAACGTATAGGATGAATTTCTAAAACCTCCCTCGAAATTAAGAAAATTACAAAAAATTTAGAAGTTCATCATCATCATTTTACATATTCAACTTCAATCTTGGCGAACTAAGTGATAATTAATAATAATAATAATAATAAAAAAAAAAAAGAGGGAGATATATGTTATTTTTACAAACTTTTCATCTTCATGTTATTATCCCGAACCGTAGGGTAATTCTGCCTTCATGTATTTTTACAACCTGCAATAAATTTTGCAAGCCAAGAGAGCAACAAAATTATAAAAATCATTTTTGAGGTGGGCATGGTTGTTAATTACAAATGTGAACTTCTTTAAACAAGCAGTTATGAGTCTGACACCAATGGAGTTGTGGTAGTTGCCTCTTATCTTTTGCTAGTTTCCTAGACTTAAAAGCTACATGGAGAGAACACACAAGAACATTAGATAAAATTATACAAACACTCTCAGCTCTCAACCACTTGTGGTTGTGATACCAGCTGCATCAAACTTCATCTTCATTGTACTTGCTTAAATGTGAAGTACCGGAGATGGGTTTGTTGTTGAATTATCTTAGAGTACTAGGTGTTTGTTTTGTGTTGATGGTGGTAGGTGCATTGAACTCAGCTCACTCAGCTGTTTTGCTTCATTTTACTCGAGCTCCGTCCGCAAGGTCAAGGTTCTCCACTGCTGTTTTTGAATACTCAATTAGAAGACCAGATGGCTCTAATGCTTGTAAAAACAATGGCTGTTCTGTACATTGTGAGGTACCATTTGCATGAGAATTTGAAAGCTAAATTATATTAAATTTTGACATGTAATGCGTTGCTAAAAAGAGAAACATATCTGGAAATTTTCTTTCATCAAATTAACTATTGTCCTCTCGCAGGTCCCCTAGCTTACTAATGCTATTCTGACTTCCAGGAATATTATGAGAACCTAAATTAAGCTTATCAGCTATAATGGCACAGCTAAAAAACTGCAGGAATTTATTGAGGTCTATTACAGTGATTTAAGATATGTAACTTATGTAACTTGTATTTTGCTGCTTGATGGCAAGGTTTTGAAACAATGTCTTTCCGATGTTATTTTGTTCAAGAATTTCAGTGTAAATCATGAGCATCGTTTTCTTCTCAATGTCACCAACCTTCAGTAGGGAGAGAAACTCCTCTGCTTATTCATGGTTCATTGGTAAGCACATCTGTCTCCCATTATATTTGCTTGTTTCTCAGCATTTGAAGATTCTTACCTCTTGCCGGTTTCATGTTTTTCTAATAGATACAATTATACCAACTGAAACGATTTTAAGCAAACAGAATTACCCAAATGCTGATAACAATTGACATCAAATTCAGTGAGACTTGTGCTGGAACGGGTGGGCTTTAAATGCCTGAACTCATCAAACTGTGATGTAAGGAATTCTCTTGCTCAGAACTCTACATTTTATAAAAACTCATGCCAGTTTCTGGCATAATGTGTTTTGTGAGTGTGAATGGTGTTATCTTCTTTTGCAGGTCATCATAAATGGTCCTGCCCATCTAGATGCATCCTCCCTTAAAATCATCAAACCGAACATCAAATACAAACTTGACATATTACTTCCCATGGAAGGTATACATGGTCGTGTGATATTAGAATGGCAGAAAATTTTTGTACAGAGATAGCTGGAAATGGTTTTACGAGGACAAATGGTTCCACTATAGTAATTCGCTTTGGTAAGACGCTGAAACTATTTAATTTCACTGAGAATGCCAAGTAAATTATTGACTAATGCGTTATTTTGATAATTCTATTATTCATACTTAAATGGTTGTCTTAGATGGAAGACCAATTCTGGTTGATTTATGGATGTCCCTTCCTGACTACGAGCTGGAGTTTAATGGGGTCCCCAGAACTGTCCTTTCAACTAGTAAAATGGAGGACTTGGAACTTTTCTTAGACTTCAGCATTCCTATTATGAATTCAACAGAGCAAGTCCTGAAAGCATTTTGTTTGAATTCTGGTAGCTTAATAGTTATTCATCATAGATGCCATACGAATCTCCGGTTTATGTTTAAAGTAAGTAGTCCATTGACTCCATTCAATTTTGTGTATATATTTCTATCAAGTTTCACTGATACAGATTCAACTTCATGTTATACTGGCAAATTCTCTTGATTTTGTAGCTTACAAATATACCAAAAACTTAAATAATCCCTGTTGAACTACAAGCAGGTTCTCTTATTGGCATAACAGGCACTCCTGCTTCACCAGTTCCTTCGCTTACATTTCTCTATGGTATGTTATTCCAGAGTTTGTGCTCTCCACAGTCCACAGTAGTTCCTGCAATTCTTTCTAGCTGAGCATGGAGCTAAATGACTAGTTTTCTTCTAAGATTCTGCCAAGCCTGGGGTAGGGCTAAGTACCAGCTCACCAAGCATCACAAAGGAACCCAACATCAATGTGATAGTGGAGTTTACAAAGCCAGTTTTTGGGTTTGAGGCTTCCATGGTAGATGTGGACGGAGGGAGACTTACAAGGAAGGTGCATATGGTGTCATAGATACAATTAATCATGTCATTATACTTAATCTCTTAAAAATTAGTACAACTGTATAAAACATTAATCAGAAGGGCCTAAATACATTCATGCAGATTTAAGGAACTCTCGAGAGCTCTATACTCAATGACTGTCCAGGCGTTTAGTCAGAAGGTAGTCTCCATTTCCATTCCTGCAGGAAAAGTCAATGATGTGTCAGGAAACCAAAATTCGGCATCCAATACTCTTGAAGTAAAACACTCTAAGAATAATACATATTCCTGTTGTGATGTTTCAGGATTTTTACTTTATGCTAAAAGCTGCATCTTTGGAAATTTACCAATTGCTGTTTAACTACTTGAGACTCGGTTTATACAGATTCAACCCCTACTATCAACTGCACTACACTCATTTCTGACTGCGGGAACATTAGTAACATCATTGACGGCAGTTATTCTTTCTCTTTCCTCTACAAATGTTGGAGCGATGGGCATTCTGTTCTCAGAAAGTACAAATTTTATGGCTTCTGACACATCAATGAATCTACATGTAAGTAATCTGTAGCCTGATACTGCCAAAAATTCAATGCGAATAATTTAAGTCTGGTTTAAATATCTCAAAAAATTTTATCACAGGGAATGGTTGGACACCTACAAGTTTTTGTCCTCTCAGACTGGCTCTTAACGAACCAACCCATTGAATATTCTGAGACAACAAAAGGTCTGAGGTGGCTTATACCACGTCAAAAGCTTCCTTGGAGAAAGAATAATGATTCAGTGTGGCCTAACCATGTCTATTTGGCTGAAGAACAAGCCTCAAAGCAATTTAGATACCAGCCAATTGAATGTTCTCATGAAAGATCTTATCATCATCTAACTGGCTTAAGTCTGACCAAGTCGTACCCACAACATGAACCACTTTTTCCACCTGAAATTGACCCAAAGTTTGGCGGGCTGTTTGGACGGCACAACATAAGCATGAAAAATACTCCTTATGGCCTACTTCTTAATTCCAGTGAATACTTCACTTATTTCTTGGTTAGTATCTATTGACATACAATTAATTTTGCAGTTTAAACGGAGATTCTTTTGTTAAATGATGTATCAATGATCTTGCAGAGAGGAGAGCCATTGTCTGCTAGCAGTGTTGTCAAGAAACTGGAGAACTATAAGGGGTAGCTTAAACATTGACTGTTAATAATTCAGAAGTAAAATATTTACTTTTGTTAGTGATCTGAGTATTGCTGAAATCTTTCGTTTGCTCGACAGGTGGCAAGATTTGGGGATGAACTTGTTCTGGCTTGGTGTTGGATGCGGTAGCTTACTTATAATCCATTTTCTGACATTACTTTTCCTAAGATGGAGGATAGGAACTCCAGCTCATGGAATGATTTCAGTTCCGAGGTTTGCGCTCTTTCTTCTAATTCTCATGCTACCTTGTATCTGCCAGTCTTCAGCATTTGTAATAAGAGGTGAGAAAAATAAAAACTAGGTTCCTTCTGATTTAGACTGTTCCACTCTGTTGGATTTAGGAATTGACGGTTGCATAATTGTTGCAGGTGGTACCACAGGGGGAATAATCACAGGGGCTTTACTGCTAGCCATCCCAGCAGCACTTATTCTATCAGTCTGCCTTTTTCTTGTTATTGCCATCTTTTTTGGAAGTTTTGCACAGTACAAAGAAATCAGATATGTAGCTCTAAAGGAGCCGTGGTATAAAAAGCTATGGTTTTTCTTTACAGGAAGGCCTGCTATTGGAAAATGGTTTTACAGGGAAGGGCTGCCTTCCTCTTTCTTCCCACTCTTTGGGGTTCTCTTCGAGAATCGAAAAGGCCCTCCATTATTTGTCTTTGTCAATGAGAATGATCCAAACACCATACCTAACTGGACAGAAAGCAACCAAAGTGGGATTGGGAGAATGAGAGCTATCAGCTCAGATGATAGCAATGAAGATATCAGAATTCCTACGTCCGGGAGGTTACTGGGGTGTGCTAAATCTTCCTATATTGTTCTTGATCTTTTAAGAAGAATCAGTATGGGGGTAATATGTGGAGCTTACCCTTCGAATAAATTAAGCCAAACCCTATTTGCTTTGACAATCACACTGATACAATTTATGTGTTTATTTACTCTCAAACCATACATCCGAAGAGGAGTCCAAGTAGTGGAATGCATTTCTCTGTTGTGTGAGGTAGGCGTTTTTGGTCTAAGTGTCAGATTGAATGGCTCAAATCCAACTGAAGCAAAAACTCTTGGATTATTAATGCTAGGCCTACTCTTCCTCACTTTTGTTGCTCAACTTATAAATGAGTGGTATGCTATAATAAAAAGCATTCTAAGACTTGCTCAGCCCCAAAAAAATTCTTTCAGGCTTGGACTGAAGTTTGCTGTTAAGGGCCTTGTGCTGCCTTTCCTCCCAAGGAAGTATTGGTCAAGAGTCATCCCTGGTTCCTCAAAACCAATAACAGGCCTAGCTTCAGTCCCTCCTCAAAGTCCCGAAACTGAATATGTTAGAAGAAATACTAGAGGACCCAGTACCGACCCCTTTAGTGCCATGACTGCAACAGTAGTCCCTGTGCTCAGTCCTGGCTCACCGGGCCTTAATGTTATTCAAACAACTGGTTTCACTCCTGGGGACACAAGCATTATGCAGCAAAGAGTTGCAGAAGGTAAGCGGGCAAAGGGACTGAAAATAGAGTCCAAGAATGAGATGAAGAAGCTAAGGGAGTTGGCAAAAGCTAGTTTCTGTGGAGATTCTACAGGCGAGGGAGCTAGTACTAGCTATGCATTTAGGCTGCAATCTCACTCTCCTGAAACCCTTTTAGATAACCCTGAAGCTTCCACTTCCAAATTCAGAAGATAGTGTTTTAAACGACAGGGCTATGGAAAAGGGTGTTGAGATTCAACTTCACCAAGCAGTTAACATCATTCTTGTTTCTCATAGACTTGTAGCATGACTTTGTACAATTAATACAATGTTTAAAGTGAATTATCTGCACTTGTAAGACCTCTAAGATAATTTTTTTTTGTTTAAATTCTCATTTCCAACTGACGATTTATCAGAAATGCAGATTTTCTGAACACATTTTCAGAATACTGCCACATTTCAATGCACATTCTTCTTGAATGACAAACAGAAAATACAACTTGTGAATCTAAAAGTTAATGAAAGGAAATGGAAACTTCAATTACAGTCTCCTCTATGTTGCCACTAAATATTAATAGCGTAAAACCACAAGCCTGAGAAGTTTAAATTCTCTGAAACTACCACAAGCCTGAGAAGTTTAAATTCTCTGAAACTAACATTTAACAATACATTGAGTTTAATATGAAGGCAGGCAAAATAGAAGAATAGCTTCAGAGAAGAACCTACACATCATTTGTCAAAAGTTTTCCATCATCATTTATACTCTGGCTGATTGTGGTAATCTTCTGCAAAAAGTTCAGAGAAAGAATCTCCAATTATCTTTTGATTCACTGGCGGCATAAGCAACGGATTGAGGCCATGCAGGACAAGCCAATTACTTGTATAAACATCTGGAAGGACTACAACTGGAACACCATTGAGCACAAGGACATCACCAGACCAAGTCAGATTAATCACAAACCCTCCTGAAAATGTTTGCAACATTGTCCCATCACTAAGTCTAACCAAATCCTGCCAAGTAAGCAATCTCGGAACGACATGTCGCCGAAAAATTACCAAATAGTCAGTAATGTTTCTCACACATGCTTCGATTGCTTCATCAAGTGGGGCAAAGATTGTCAATCTTGTATGATCTCTAAACCCTGACAATTGAACGCCAAGAAATGTCGCCATTGTTGTATGGCCTCTTGACCTTAGCCAATCAGATGCCTTGCCAAACTCATCAACATCAAAACCATAGTGTTTAAGTTCACTCTGAGAGGAATTATTATTAACCATAGTAGTTGGAGGAGGGCTCGGCTCAAGTGCTGAAAAAGAAGTGCTAGTAGTAATATTAAATGAAGTATCAAAGAACGCATCCATTCCATTTATAACCAAAAACCCTTCATCATAAACGGGAGATTCATCGATAGAAATGCCATTTATCGAAAACGGTGCATTGTAATCTGAAGTAGTGACCATCAGTGAGTTATTTGGCAACAGTGTGGGGATTCTTGAGCCAAAAGGAAGAGTTTTGAGGGTATCTTGAAAGAGTTGTGCAGGTGATATGTGATATTGGAGCTGGAGAAAAGACAACCGACCTGATTGAACGAAAGCAAGATCGGATGGAGCGAAAATGGTGATGATTTTAGAATCAAGATTGAGGGTCTTGGAGGTAAATTGAAGGGTAAGCGCCATTGATAGATAGCCAGAGTTTGAGAGAATCTCCAGCGCATTGGATAAAGCTGTACGAGATGCAAAAGCAAAGGTAGATAAAGAGAACATAATGAGAGAGAAGAAAAGTGAAGTTGCCATGGAAGACTTGGTTTTGATGCTTGTTCTCGACTTCATTAACGAACAGAGTTTATGGTTTTTGTTGAGAAGAGTGTTCATGGGCTGCAAGAGCGGGAAAAAGCTTATACCAGGCTGAAAGTAGTTATAGTTGTGACCAAAACAGAAGAAATTATGAGGGCGTCAAACGGGTAGGTTGAATCGGATCCGGTCGTGTCGTGTCTTATTTATATGATATTAAAGACATTAAATGGTGCGTTTGGTTTATTATTTTGGATAGAATTTTAGGAATAATATTGGGTAGTTAAATAGGAGATTATTACAAGGTAAAATTTAAAAATTTATAAAAAAGCTCTTAGGTTTACTAATTTAATTAAACACCCTAATATATAAAATGACAAAAATACCCCCACCATCTGCAGTGCCAGATTCCGGCCATCACCAAAGAAATCTAGACGGAAAATCGCATTACGACACAGACCGGTCGTATCTGTGTCGTAACGCGTCGTTATGGCCTTTTCCGGCCAGATCCACCACGGATCTGGCCGAAAAAGGCCAGATCTACGGCCTATTGTGGCTGCGACGGCCGGAAAAGGACAAAACGACAGCCATCTTTGGCCATCAGCGACGGCCAAAGATATGGCCATCGTTTCGGTCAACGATGACCAAGATTTTGTCGTCGTTGACCGTCAACGACGGTCATTTCTTTGGCCGTCACTAGATCGGTGAATTACCAGCCAGTTCTGGTCGGCAATTCACCGTTGTGGCAGATTCTGGCTACCACCGACAGTGGTTGCCAGAATCTGGCAAGTATGGGTCATGGGGGTATTTTTGTTAATTTTTAAACTTTTTTCAGGGGGTATTTAATGAAATTAATAACCTTATGGGGTTTAAAAGTAATTAAAAAAAATAGGGTAATATTTCTGGAATAATGTGCCAAACTTTATTTGAAGAATAGGATTGGAAATATGGGCAGAAATAATAAGCCAAACATGCCCAAAAAGATTTTATAAGAGTAATTATAATTATGTAAAAATATATTGTGGGTTATATTATATCCTCATATATTTGACATTAAATTTTATTGTAATTTTAAATGTGCAAGTATAATAGACTGAGAAGGATATAAATTTAAGAGAATAGAATTAGAGGGGGCTGAAATACTTCTTCGCTCCTCAATTAATTGTTGTGAGATGTGGCCACATCTCACAACACTCTCCCTTAGACATCCACCGCTTACAGATAACTGTATTTAACCTTACTGAAGAAAAACCCAGTGGGAAAAAAACTTAAGTAAAGAAATACAACTCCACTGTAACGTGAAATTAGACGTGCTTTATACTGCCTCATTAAAAACCTTATCAAGAAAACTCAATGGGACAAAACCTGATCAAGGAAAAAAGAGTACAGTGCACATATGTCTAATACAACAAACAGTAGAATAAACTTTTCTAAAAACTTCCCCTAATCGATGCTCCTCTTGATCAATGCTCCCCCTCATAATGGTAGAATTAATTTAGTAACTTATTGAGCCGCCGCATACCAATGTTATACACTAACTTTTCAAATGTTGATGTTGGTAAGGTCTTAGTGAATAAATTTGCAAGATTATCACTAGAGCGTATTTGTTTGATATCAATCTCGGGATTTTGCTGGAGTTCGTGTGTGTAAAAGAACTTCAGTGAAATATGTTTGGTTCTGTCTCCTTTGATATATCCTCCCCTAACTTGAGCAATACATGTTGCATTGTCTTTATTTATAATTGTGGGAGCATCTAAGGTACATGGCAATTTACATGTACTTTCAATATGATGGATGACAGATCTTAACCATACGCATTCTTGGCTGGCTTCATGAAGTGAAAGAATCTTGGAGTGGTTGGAAGAAGTGGCAACTAATGTTTGTTTTGTAAAGTGCCATAATATTGCAGTACCATTATAAGTGAAAACATATCCCGTCTGCGAGCGGGCTTTGTAAGGATTAGAAAGGTACCCAACATTTGTATAGCCAACTAATTTAGAATCATTATCAGACTTCCTTGGATAAAATAATCCCAAGTCTTTTGTTCCACTGAGGTAACAAAAGACATGTTTGATCCCATTCTAATGTCAGTGTGTTGGTGCAAAGCTAAATCTTACTAATAGATTCACTGCAAATGTTATGTCTGGTCTCGTACATTGTGCCAAATATAATAATGCATCTATTGCATTTAAATACGGTACGTCAGGACCAAGTATCTTTTCATCGTCTTCTTTAAAACGAAATGGATCATTTTTAGGATCAAGAGACTAAACTACCATTAGGGTACTCAAGGGGTGAGATTTATTCATATAAAATCGCTTAAGGATCTTTTCAGTATAATTTGATTGATGAAGCAAAACTCCATTTGAACAATGCTTGATCTGCAGGCCAAGACAATACTTTGTTTTCCCTAGATCCTTCATTTCAAATTCTCTTTTTAAGTACTAAGCAACTTTTGTGACCTCTTTAGGAGTCCCTTGTAAGTTCATGTCGTTGACATATACTGCCACAATTGCAAATCATGATTCCAACCTTTTTATAAAGACACACGAGCATACAGGATCATTGATGTATCCTTCCTTAATCAGATATTCATTGAGACGATTATACTACATTCGTCCTAATTATTTCAACCCATATAACGATCTTTGCAATTTTATTGAATACATGTTCATTTTATTTGGTTCTGGCACTTTGAATCCTTCTGGGATTTTCATATAGATATCAGTATCTAGTGTACCATACAAATATGTAGTGACAACGTCTATGAGACGCATATCAAGTCCTTCTGAGACTGATAAACTAATCAAGTATCGAAATGTGATTGCATCCATCACTGGTGAATATGTCTCATCAAAGTAAATTCCGGGTCTCCATAGGAAACCTTAAGCCACTAGTCTGACCTTATACCTAGCAATCTCACTTTTCATTTCTATGTTCTTGTATTCCTTTAGGGATTTCTTCCTCTTTAGGGGCTTGTGTCTTTTCAAGGACTGTTAAATCTTCTGGAGTTAGTTTAGAAGATGTGTGGAATTGTCAATTATTCCAGTATTGTCAATATTGGCACCTATTTGATTATGTGCCTTTTGTTTCTTAGGAATAGTATCCTTGGCTCCAACAGGCTTACCACGCTTCTGGCGTATAACAGATGAATCAATCACTGACGCATGGATTGTTCATTGGTAACATCAATCCTTACTGGTGTATTAATAGTAGGAAAGTATGATCTCGTTATTTTTGCTACATCTGTAAATGCATCAGGCATTTGGTTGGCAATATTTTGCAAAAGTGGCAACATTACAAATAGATAGTAGACAAACATGTGACCATTGTGCCAACGTGTCAATCAGTACCATGAAGTAGTGGAAAGGTCCACTTGGTGGATGAATAAATCCACATATGTCCCCTTGAATTGTTTATAAAAATGATGGGGATTCTACACCAACTTTAGCGATGGATGGCTTAAGTACCCATTTGCCTTGTGAGCAAGCAATACAAGCACTCTCATTAGGTAACAAAATCTTCAGGTTCTTTAATGGGTGCCCATGTGAGTTTTATATGATCCTACGCATCATAGTAGATCCTGGGTGACCGAGACGATCATGCCAAATTTTAAAAAGTTCAGGATTAGTGAACTTTTGGTTCATAACTTCATAGACTTTAACATTCTTCAAGAATGTGTAATATAACCCTGATGAGAAAGTAGGGAGTTTATCCAGTACATGCTTCTAGCATGAAATATTAGCAGTGATGCATAGAAACTCTCCATTCTTTTCACTTAAAGTTTCAATGTGGTATCCATTGAGTCAGATGTCTTTGAAACTAAACAAATTTCTTCTGGATTTGCCAGAATATAAAGCATCATGGATACTTAATTTAATTCTGCTTGGTAACACAAGTGTTGCTATTTCGGAGCCCTCAATTATGTTTGCAGATCATAATATGGTATTTATTTTAGCCTCAGTAAAGGTCAAACTTGAGAAATATTTTCTATCCCGAAGGATGGCATGCGTTATTGCACTATCTACTATACAAATGTTTCAACCATTACTGGATATCGATGTCTCAGTTTTGAAGTCCATCCTTAAAAGAATTTATATTAGTAAGGATGTTTACAGAACTTCATCTTCATGATATGGAACTTCAGGTCCTATTTTTGTCTCTGTTTTACAAACTTCATGTTTGTAATCAGTATTTAGAACTTCAAGTTCTAAAATGATATTTATTTATGGAACTTCAAGTTCATTTATCAAATATAATATGAAAAATATAATAAAAGCAGATCCAACCATAAAAGTTGTATTGAACAAGAATAAATAGATCCATCCATGAAGGCGGTATTCAACAATAATAAATAAATCCAGCCATAGAGGCGAAATTTAACAATAATAAATAGATCTAAACATAGAGGCGGAATTTAACAATAATAAGTAGTTTCGACCATAGAGGCTAATAAATAGATCTAACCATAGAGGCGGAATTTAACAATAATAAGTAGTTTCGACCATAGAGGCGGAATTTGACAATAATAAATAAATCTGACCATAGAGACGATATTTAACAGTAATAAATAAATCCGACTATAGAGGCTGAATTTAACAGTAATAAATAAATCCGATCATAGAGGTGGAATTCAATAGTAATAAACAAATCTAGCCATAAAGACGAAAACATGGATTAAATAACATTTGTAGGATTGAAAATACGTACTTTCAGTAGGCATGTATCGTTACACTTGTTAAGCTGCTGATAACGTATTGTAATTTTAAATGTGCAAGTATAATAGACTAAGAAGGATAGAAATTTACGAGAATAGAATTAAAGGGGGCTGAAATACTGCCTCACTCCTCAATTGATTGTTGTAGTGAAAATGAAGGGAATGGGGGGTTTATATAACCAACACCCCCTCTCCCATTCACCGCCTCAAAGTTAAGGCAGTGGATGGTCACATTTCACAACAAATATGGTTTTTTTAGCACTTGATATTTGGTACTTTGTTGTGCCCTTTTCCTGACCTCAAACTATCATATTCTATTTTC